AAAACCGTGATAATTTTGGTCACTATAACCGTGAGGTTAAATTTTCATACCGTTACATCCCTAGTTGCTACAGAATGTAATATACATATATCATACTTTATAGGTAAATATAATACAATGCCTAAGAATAATCCAAGGGGCAGGGAAGGAAGGCTGTTGAAATATATATGTGCTTACTCTAACTACATGACTTTTCTCCATATCCCTGCATTATAAAATCCGTAGTTTAAATGCGCAGAAATTCCATTTAAACTTTACAGGCAAACCGTTCTCAGATCAGCAACATTTTAATGCATCTTGAGTCATATGGGGACACTGGGACATAGTCAACAATTTTGCATTAGTGCCCTCAGAAGCTTGATAAATGCATGGACATCTGCTAGGCTTCCTTCATACCAGCTGATTGCACTTTTTATGATATATGATCTGTTTGTGGCTTTCTAATAAAACAGTTATAATATCCCATGTGGCTGCATTCATTCATTCATGTAAACTATGTAACCAGTTACGATGTGACATTTATGGATACATAAATGGTAATGTAAGGTAGTTAGGTTTATCCAGGAAATTTGACAAAACATATTGCAGATAAATATGCGGTTCAACAGTAAGCCATTAGAAGAACTCTTACTGCAAATAACCTAACCTCAAATTTTCTGTCATCTTTAGTATTCCCCTTTTTTTAATAAAAACCACTTGTGTCTCTTTTTAGTTCTCCATTATGTATGTAATTTTATGACCAATTGATTGGATTTATTTGATTAACTAATTTCATAAAAGTAAAGTCTTGTTGTAAAATGCTAAATAGAACATTAAGAACTATTAAATTTGAAATATGTCTGTTTAGAGTCTAGGACAATCAGGCACTGGTTTGTTTAAATAACAATAACATCAATATTCTTTTATTTAATAATATTGGTGAGGGCTATATCATGTTTTTAGTGGACAGGAAGTCAAGAGGTCCGGCACATAACATAACCATGATGTTTTATATTTCAACAATTATTATTATCATCATTATTAGTATTGTAACATATGAACACATTCAATTATGCAGTTTTTATCTGGCCATGACATGTTGTTAAATATGTCAAATGTATATCATAATCTGGCCCACAAAATTATTACTACATTTAATTATTTTTCTAGTTGTTTCATATCAATTTAAACTACCCCTTCATATACAATTAAAATAAAAAAAACTATTCAATTTTAAAAAATGTATTTCGTTTGGCATGAAAGTCAAAGCTGCCCGTAAATATATGTACAGGGTTGATAAGAAGAGAGCATGTTTCTGACCTTTATTTGTTGTTTGGCTGCGAACAACAAAGATAATATAAAATGATGATGGAATGTATAGGAACTGCTGGTGTCATTCGTTTGTTGATTATTACGTTAGTGTTGGAAATATTGTTAAAATATTGTGCTTTCTTGTAGTGATTGAACAGCGAAGTGGCCCTCCTATGATATGACAATACCAGCAGCAGCCCAAGCCAATTGAGTTTGATATCATCTCTAGGGCATTTTAAGAAGAATAACCTAAACACCCACTGAGGCAGAAGCATAAGAAAAAGACCACATTTCATGAAGCACTCAAGCTTGTGGGTGATCAATCCAAAACTTAAAAGACACCCTGTTTTAGAATGTAGGTCAGATATCACAAGAGATGGAAAAAAAAAAAGCTTATAGAGGGAGATTTTTTGGCTTGTTTTACATTTGTTCATGTTCATTGTAACTACACTCCACACTACTCTCATCATAGACTCAAAAAAAAAAAAACCTTCTGCTCTGGAGAGCAGCTGTATATGTTTAGGTATTAGGTAGAAGCCAATTCAAGCATGACAGAAAAACAAGTGAATAAAAGCCAAGTCAAATATCAAGCTCCTCTGCTACCAGATTTCACAATGTTTTCTGGCAATCAGAGAAAAGTTTTTAGACAAGTCATATTTGTAAGACTTCTGACAAGTGGAAATGATCATGGTACGGATATGGCTGGGGTTACATGATTAACTTTCACAAATTGTGCACGACAGGAGATCACAGCTGAATTTAAGAGAAAACAGAGCAGGGGATTGAAAGAAGACACACGCATCAGCAACATCTAAAATCCACTGGCCTAGATTTCCATCTTATCCTTTAGTGTTTATGTGCTTGCAATTGACCCATGTTCGGTTTGTTGAGATACTATAAAGCATTCAATTTTTAAGAGGTAGTTCTTCTTAGGAGTGAACCGTGTATTCTACTGTATATTCAAAGTTGTCATTTACAATCTGTTGTCTTGGCTTTTCCCTAAGCCATAAAATCTCTCCTAAAACAAGAGAAACACATCCAATGAATCACAGATCATACCACATGGTCTTCTACAACAAATAAATTCACCCCAGAATACATCTGTGTCTTACCTGATCCCACGGACAGATGATCCCGCCAGAAAACATAAAAAGGTATCCCATGGCAACCAAGCAGGCCCAGATGACCAGGGAGAAAACACGTAGAAGCTTCTTGAAGACTGACTCGATGCAGACGAGTACAAACACAGCCAGGAAGATAGCCAGCGCTGTGGGCACAGTGATTACAAAGGCCACATGGTCCTCAATGTTCTGAAAAAAGATAGATAAAAAAAAAGTATAAGGATAAAAAAAAGAGACATTGAGACACATGGACAAGCAATTTAAGAGAGAAAAAACTAGGTTTGTCTGACAGAGATAGACAAGCTAATTTAGAAGACAGAGAGAGAGAGAGAGCCACTCCCCTAGATCCATCTTTCCTCTTTAGTGTCCTGAAAATATTAACCAACAAGGAAGATAGGTGAAATATTTACAACCAAGGCAGAAAAGCAGTAAATACAGAATAAAACAGATTTTTCTACATTTTTAAACATTTTTAAACAAGGTGTCATTCTAATACTGCTCTTTGCTAGATGTAATCTGAAAAAAGAGTCAGTGATAAGATGAAATGGTGAAATGGTGAAAATAATTTCCATATGGCTAAATGTACAAACCAGGGATCCATATTCTATTTTTGATATATGGCTGTAATAGTAAAACATTTATTCTGAGAGAACATCTTATGGAGTGAGGAAAAAGTGAGTGTTAACCAATAGCTTGGTTGAAACCACATCCATAATGGATTTTCTGTGCGGCCTTTCTGAAACACACTTAGATCTGAAAGTTGTAATAAAAATTTCAGGAGTTTCTTCAAGGTGTATGTAGGCTAGTACAGTGAAATGAGTCGTTTGTACTGCTTGCCTTTGCCAGGCTTCATCTCAGCACTGCTTTTCCAGAAGTGTGATGGGGGATGGGAAAGGGTCAGGTTATGGATATGTACTGTTGGCAGATGTGTCACATCCTGACTGGCACACTTGACTGTGTAGGCAAGGAAGCCTGTGAAACACACTAATATCTATCAATAAAACTAGAATTTGTATTCAACCCAAAATAGTCGCATGTCATGTTATTGGCTGAATAACATCAGGGCTAATAATTTGGTGCCACTGTATCCTCATCCATAAAGACCTCCTCATATAGGTCTCCTATACATTTTTGATCTTCAAAAACTCCAAATATCCACTGTGTAAGCTACACTGCATTATCCAAATTAATGAATGGATTATTTTCAAGTTCTTTTTTGAACTAGCATCGTAAATATTAACAATCTGTTATATTACAATGAAATGTGTTGTTTTCATTCATTGCAGTCACTGGTCACTAAAACTAATTCCTCATCATTGTTTTCAGAAGTGACGTAACCGTCAAAATGTTTTTATGCCAGTCTATCTCATGATGCGTCTGTTCGCAATTGTTCCCCTCCTCTCCTTCTCCAGCTCCCCCGCCCCCACCTTTCCCCTGTCTCTTTCTTCTCATGCACACAGTCAATGCACTGGGACAAGACAGGATATGTGTGGCTTCAGAGAGCCACAGAGAGTTTGCCTCGCCCAGAGCAAAGCTCCAAAACAGCACAGGATTTAGGTCAGCCAGCCAGCAGGATGGAGGGATGATGGGATACAAATGAAAGAGAGACAGAAATATGAGGAGATGAGGAGGGGAGAGATGACATAGACAGGAGAATGTGGAGAATGATGGAGGAAAAAACAAGGGAGTACCAAAAGTCACGCCTATTCAGCACGGGGATAGAGCAAAATGACGAGGATGTAGGACAGAGCGACTGAGCAGTGGCCTTATGGGAAAAGGCATTTACTGAGATGCTTGCTCATTGCTTCCATAATGTGCAGAATTAAATCAAGTAATCTATGAAATGAATTTCTAATTATACAACACAAGGCTGTATAACATAATGAAGGTTTGCAGTCCATTCATGCTACACACATAAAAATGATCATTAAATGTATAGAATAATATAGAAAACAAATCCAATTTTATAAACCAATATATACAGTTATTCATATACTTATATACATATACCGAGGAAATAATTCTGCAGCACATTTTTTATATTTGCATCTGGGGGAACATAAGCAGCAGCAACAACAATGTTGCGAAAAATATGGTTTCATCTTCACATAAAAGTTAGAATTTGAGAAACAGTGTCCATCCACTTTGACTTGTTTAAGCACCAAGCATCATGAATGTAAACACATCCTCCCCTCATCCTGCACTTGCAGCTCGGAACACAATCCGCCCGTCAAGTGCATGATCCAGGATGTTGACAGAACAAGTCTCTGTAAAGCTGTGGGCACAACAGCTTGAGTCCCATTTCATCCACATCGGACATTAGCCTGTATCAGCCTTAAGTTTCGGGGCCAGCACGGCTCCTCTCCGACTCCCTTTCCTCCCCTCGTGGAGTGACAGCACCCACTGTGGTGGGCTGGTCCCACTGATCTGGCTGGGTGAATTGTCTCAAAGTCTGTTCTTTAATCCAAACCCAACACTTCCTTTTCTAATGACAGTAGGCTATTTCTGTCACAGGGAATAGTGTTTCAGCAACAAAGCCAAAAACAGATTAAAAGAAAAAGAGAGCAGTTTGAAGGAGCTAGCCTGCTGGCCGCAGCATCTGGATGTGCCGCTGCTGCCATGGTGAAAATCTCCTTCTCCAGTGGAATTGAAAAATGTTTGCATAGCCATTAAAAATCAAACCCAATCAGACATCATTCAATGCCACTTATGTTACGCAACAAACACAACAACAAAACATATTAAAACAAAAATGTAGCAAGTTTTAAGGAGCCAGCGCTGCCATCCATTGCATATACATACAATGCGTCAGATTGTAGAGAAATAAAGAAAAAGACTGCTTTTCAGTTCTGACTCACCCGTTTCTAACTCTACATTAATACTTAATGCTTTGACTGCTGGTTAGCCTTCACACTGTCCCACAGCTTTCATACAAATACTGCCAGCTGGATCATATAATAAATCTAAAGTGAAATTATCAATTAGGATGTTTATCGGTACAATTACCAGCTCTGATTAAAACAACTTAAATATCTCCCCCAATGTGCAACACCATGAGCAAACCACTTTAATGACAAAAATAAGTGTGTAGAAGGTAACTGCAATACAATCAACAATCTGAAAAGTTGCAGGGTTAAATATGATTCTTGTATCTTTTTAGATAAGGGATTCCATTTGTTGACTAATTAGGCATTAGTGACTCTGTTTTGTCTTAACTGATGGAAACACAACGGCTGGATCTACAACCACTGATGTTACTGGCCTTACTATCTGTTGGTTGTATGTTACAGTTTATGATAACACAACAACACAACCTTTCACTTTGTTTTCATTCAGTTTGGTCTGTTTAGCTACAATACATAACTACTCTTATTATAAATGGTATTTTAGTGAATGCCTGATGTGCAGGGTGATGTGTAGGGTGATGTGTGTGCTCTCTTTGTCTCACTCTCTCTTTCAGTTTGTTTTAGACTAATCCCTTCTTAATAGCAGACTCAGCAGTGACAGGGAATGGGAGAAGCACTCTTCTAATGCAAACATGTGATAAGCTATAATAAGGTTATGTTAGTATATCTTCTAAAATCAATCATTAAATTGTGTTCATATATTATTACTGGTATGTAGTAAAAAACTCTTTCCTGTTTTGGATGCCTATAATCAGGCATGTTATTTAAAAGTTAAATCACAGATTTACAAATCATGTTTTGATTTTTCCTTAGTATGAATATCTTTTTATTTTACAGAGTGGCTTTCGTTAACTGCATAACATTTTTCAGGTTTTTAGAGCGAAGCTAACCCTGTCAAAAATAGTGACAGAGGGAAACAGATCTCCTTTCTGTAGTTTAGTCAACCATGAGGTCAGACAATAACTAAGCCCCTTATTCCCCCCTCACTTTTATCTCACCCTTCTCTTCACATTAGTGCTGCGATGAGGACCACATGCTGTGACAGTGTGCATGTGCGTGCATATAGGTGTGGCTCAAGCATGCTTTTATGTTTGTGCATGTTTGCATGTGCCTAAGTCTATGAGAGAGGGGAGTGCATGTATTGTGTTTCACAAACCAGTGGATTTTGTGTGTGTTTATGCACATATGCATATTTGTGTGCACAATTGGCGAGCCAGTTTGTGTGACCCTATTTCTACGTATGGTTAAAGAAAATGTGAGCATCTACAATATGTGTGTGTGCACCACATGTGGCTAGATGCACCTGTCCACACTGTTCAAGCTTACATTTGATATGAATTTCTTGCAGCTGTCGTCACCGTAATTTACAGCTTACACAGAGGGATGTGCATCGCATCATGCTGGAATATAATGCCATCCATATGTTTGTATGATCCTGTATGTGTGTTTATTGGTACTTTTTTAATCTGCATAATGCATCTGTGTGTGCGCGCGTGCATGCGTGTGTGTTTCTGCATGTTGTGAATGAGCAGCTTACCAGTCCTGAAGCAAAGAACACAGTCAGCAGAGCCAGGCAGGCTCCCATCACAATAAGCAGCAGGAACACAATCAGAGGATGCTGCTGGCTCATACAGTAGTACGACTCATACAGCCAATCCGGGGACCTGTTCCTCTTCTCTTGACCTCCTCCTCCTTTATCCCCTTCACCAGACTCCCCTGCCCGGTCCAGGAGATACCGCTTTCGTCTTATTGCCTCTTGCCACATGGATCTTGGAGCCGAGAAGGAGGAAGAGGAGGGAGAGGAGGTGGTCACTGTTGAGGTATTAGTAGTTTCCACCACAGATGAGGAGCACTTGCTCTTTTCCACTCTCCTACTGGTCTTGTTCCTAATGGGGACCCTGGTGTGAGAGCTCCTGATCTCCAGTGAATCCTTCGGTTCCTCCTCCACCTCCTCTCTGAAGTCCTTCAGGCGGAGACAACTGAAAGCTGAGGCTGAGTCGGAGGCAGCGTGCGCTGGCCGGAGGGGTGGCAAGAACGCACCGAGGGTAGAGCGCAGCATCCTCCTCTTTCTCCTCCTGCCAACATGTTGAAGCGGGAAATGAAGGGGAGCGCAGAGACAGGGAGCTCTTTAGAGTGAGAGAGAAATGTGGGAGGGAAGTGAAGGGAAAGGGGAGGGAGAAAGGGCTAAGGGGGAGGGGAGGGAAAAAAAGAAGGTGCTGCAGCAGGGAGAAGTCCGTGAGTAAGTGAGATAGAGAGAAGAAAATGAAAGAACAAGAGGAGAAATTACTCCACTGACATTTATGCATTATGTAGTATTAATGTAATGTAATTATTTGAACCAAAAAAACTAGGAAACATGTTTACGGTTATGACGATTTTCAGAATCTCTCTCTCTCGCTCTCTCTGTCTCTCTGAAGGTGAACTGGGAATATAGAGGACAGATTTTCACATGAAAAATATAATAAAACTTCAACTAAGTCCAATCAAAACTACTTGATGTAATTTGGCTGCCTCAATGATGTGTCATAACTGACTTCTAAATGATGATGACTACTTAGTTCTTCTGTACAAATAAGCAGCTCAGAGATCAGAGCAAAACATAAATCAAATTAAAGTGGACAAACAAAAACCCATAATATTGCATTTGCTCATATACTGTACGCACACGTGCAAAGACATACAAGCACAGACACTTTATACACAGGAGCCAACCAAAATAGGATGAAAGTGGTGCTGGCCCAAATATTGCTTTTATAAAGATAAATGAATGACGACTTCCAGATTCCTCTAATCCCCTCACAACACTAACTATCTCATTTGAGGACAGAGTTGAAATGGCCAAACTACACAGCACAAAGTACTAAACCATAAATCATATTCATATCAAAGAATATTCAAAAAATATTTAAAGGCTTGTAAGGGTTGTAATTGTGTGTGCGAGTTCATACCGGGCCAGTACATTTATTTAGCTGCGTGCATTCATGTTAAGTTAAGCCATCAGGCACACCAAATGTGTTAGTATCAGGATAGTTGAGAGGCTGAGCATGGGTTTACTGTTTTTCTTTTGCAACATACTTTAATACCACCTGGCTGCCCTTTACTATTGAATTTGCCATAACCTTTCAAATAACAAATTTCATCTTTATAGCGTTATTTTTTTACTTTTCGAAAATAAACATTTTAAAAAGGACCAGTGTGTAATATTTAGGTGCATCTAGTGGTGAGATTGCAGACGGCAACCATCTGAAACACCTTGATTCAACCAAGTGTGTGGGAGAACCTGCGATGGACGCAAAGTTCTTGAAAAAGGCCCGACCTAGAACTAGCGTTGTGTTTGTCCGTTCTGGGCTGCGGTATAAACATGGCAGACTCTGTAGAAGAGGACACGCTCCCTCTGTCAATAAAAATGTTTTTTTTTAAGCTAACGAAAACACAATGATATATTCCATTTCGGCCAATAGATCTTCCTAAATGTTACACGCTGGACCTTTAAAATGCACCTATTAATGAATTCATATACGTAAATGCACATACGCCAATAATCATAGATAAACAGAGCTGTAATTTGAGTATGGACGGTGAAGAAAGTTTTCATTATTTCTTATAAGTCAGCGTCTTTGGAACCTGTGACTATTTCCAAATCCTTATTCCAAAAACAAAATTTGGGCACGGTCTTTAAATGAGTCTGGGTCAAAACTTCAGGGTCTACAGCGCTTTGAAGGCAACTTCCTGTAATGAAGGCAAGCTAGCTGAAAACATTGAGTTGTGTGACGTGTTTGAAATTAGCTTGACTTGCCATTGAGGTTCTGTTGTTCTGAACTGACTTTATTCCACTATCAAAATATGTGTAAACTACTTGTCAGGTGAACAGTTAATACCATTCTACACACATTGCATAGGACTGTTCATTTTCCACTTATCCAAGAAGCTTTATCAGTTTTACCAACAGACAAGGAACTGAAGGCAGTTAAACCTTTATGGAGTGTTCATGTTCAACACCCATAACCATATAAAATGTTTTCCCACTTAGTCCTACTGCTATCTTATTTCTGAATCGTTTCCCAAGGTTGTGAGAAATATTACTAGAATATCTAACTTTCCTGTCAAATAAAGTCCTTTAGACAGAGACTTAAATGCATCTGCAAATAAAATAAAAAGAATAATAATAATAATTAACACTGCGTCCAGCAACACATGAAGACAGAAACTTCTGTCTACAGAGTAGCGATACATCCTCTTCTGTTTATAACACATCTTTAAAAACCTACTAGCCTGCAATAAACACAAATTTAATTAGGGCTGACCAGAATGCTTTGAAGCTTCAACCGTTGTCATGCTAACCCACGTCTAAATCAGTATTCGAATGCTTTGGGGTTTTAAAGACTCATCCCACCGTTTTTACTTGGGCGGGCCAAGTATACTGCAGAGGTATATTAACAGCTGCTGACCACCAGCAAAAGCACACACACACACACACACACACACACACACACACATATACACACACACTTAAGTCAATTAATTTGTATCTCAATGCATTCTGATGTGATTATTGTGTGTCATAGTCTCATTGGCTCTCGTCTTATCTATATCATTTTCTCTGCTCCATCAAAAAACCCAATTCCCACCAGGGATCCTTACAGCTTGATCTAATTGATTTTAATAAGTATGGGTATCTAAATTGTAGATTTATTACCCAATTTAGAACTGAATGCAAAAGCATGGACACAGCTCAAACCATCTGCTCTTGCGATTACAACCTAAAAAACTGTGTCCAGTCCTGTACTATAATTCTCATGCATCCTCTGTAAGTTTGCCCAAACTTCTCAGTCACCATCAGCTTTTCTCCCATTCTTAAATGACAACCAT